CCCAAACCTCTAGGGTATGTGATTTTTGAAGGAAGCAATTTTTTTGAAAGAGGCATTGCTAGTGGTGCAAGGGCTGCTCTAAACTACATACTTAGGGAACCATCTGGTGCTGGTGATTGAACCCAGCTCTACAAACTGCTTCCCTGGAACTATATGTTAATATGTTTATTCCACACTTAGAATATGCAAAAAAGACAAAACTTAAATATGGTTCTACTTTAAATATTTTATGTCTTTGTTCAATGATTTATGAGTCAAGTTGCACCCCTTATAGAAGTTAAAATGAACTCTGTGAGAAGTATGAAATGAAGGGCCTTTACGGGAAGTGTTACAAGGAAGATAATGTAGTAAAAAATGGTTGTAACCTCATCAAAAAATGAGGAGATGAGATGAATAGACAGTTCCTCAAAGATGGCATAAAATGACCAATGAACATATGAAAAATTTTTCATCTTTATTTGCCATCAATAAATGCAAATCAAAATGACAATGAGCTATCATTTTACACCAGAAAGAATGGTCTGTATCAAAATGTCTGGAAACAAAAGTGCTGGACAGAATGTGATATGAAAGGAATTCTCATCCACTGCTGCTGAAACCATTGCTCTATGAGCCTCCTTGGAAAACTGTTTGGAGAATCCTCCAAAAATTAATAATAGAGCTTCCATATGATCCTGTAAATCATTCTTGGACATCTATCCCCAGAATACAAAAACACTAATCCTAAGGACCTATGTATACCTATGTTCATGGCAACATTATTTACAATAGTCAAGATGTAGGAACAACTCAAGTGCCCAGTATCAGGTGAATGAAAAAAGACATTGTGACAGATACACAATTTTTTAAATGATATCTTATAGTCAGAGAGAAAAAAGATTGAGTCTAGATGATCTCACTCATATAGAGTTTAAAGAAATAAAACAAGGGCTGTTGACAGTCCATTGGAAACCAGTTTGAGCTACCATCCGCAGATCTGTGGTCTGCAGCGGAAAGGAGACCTAGGAATAAGAGTGGAGAGATTTTGGCACTCTGGTTTGGGCATGGTATGATGATGCTGCAAGCATAAAACTATAATATGTGTACTACTATAAAACAAAAATAGCAGTAAATATTTTTTTAATTTTTATTTTATTTTTTAGCTGTAAATAGTTTTTAAGTGATTGGTTATGTGAAAGTTGTATTCCTTTAGAAGCCAACAGGGACCTAGCAGTCAGATTGCCTCTTTATGACTGAGCAGACAGACCCAAGTTGAAGTAGAGTTTACTCCTGGCAGAGGACCAAACTTTAACTAGGCTAGATATTAAGTCTTGGTGAAACAGAATTTAGCATGAGTGTCTTCATTTGGAGCCCGTTTTATTTGTCATGTATGCATAGCAAATAATACTAAATGCCTATAATATGTCTGATTGCTGGAATATTTATTAAATTAGTATCTATTGACTAGAAAGAAATCTTTATCGTCTTTATCGTCTCTTTTGTGCTGGGTTAAGAGTCTTAGTTATGCTGGTACTGCAGTGGATTAATCACTTGTCTTGCATTCAGCCAGGTTCTATCCTTGACATCCCATATTGTCCCCCAAGCACTGCCAGAAGTCATTTCTGAGTGCAGAGCCTAGAGTAATCCTTGACTGTTGCTGGGTATGACCTAGAAACAAACAAAAGGATTCTTAATTATGTGGGGCCAGAGAGATGACATCCTATTTGCATGCAGAACTTTGGGTTCAATCCCCAGCTCTGCACATTTCCCCAGCTCACTTGGAATAAGCTATTCACGAGCACAAGGCTGCAAGTAGACCTAGGATACAGCCAGGTGTTCGCCCCCCCCCCCCCCCCAAAGCCCAGAAAAGAGAGAGTCTTGGTAAAGTTTATTCTGAGTACTACAAGTTTGCATCAAAAATGTTTAATTTATTATGCCTGTTGAATAAGTTCACTTTTCTCAAAACTACTACAAACCTAATGTTTAAATAAAGCTCTACATTCCAGAAAGCCTGATAGAAGTGTGTAGCAGAAATATTTATTTTTTTTAACCTGGATAATAATCTAAGTCTGTTCTAAATGTGAAGAATTTCTTTAAAATTTATTTTTTAACATAGGGATTTACAGAGAGCTGTGAGAAATGAAAAAAAAATTAAAGTGTGATTTTGTTTCTCTCTGGAAGCAAGAGAAGTCAAGGGTAACATCATCACATTTCATCTCCAACCCTCACCCCCACCAAGTACACATACACTTCTGGGCAGAGCTCAGACAGTTTTTCAGTGGAGTTGGGGACTCTCTTACCTCTGAGTTTGGAGAGAGCAGTAGCCAGCTGATCTTGAATGCACTGTGGTTTCAGACTCTGATTACGTACTCTTTGCAGTGCCTTACTAGGGCCTCACAAGGTTGGATGATTGTATTGTATTGTATTGTATTGTATTTATTTATTTATTTGCATTTTGGGTCACAGCTGGTGGTGCTCAGAGGTTACTCCTTCCTCTGCACTCAGGAATTACTTCTTGTGATGCTCAGGGATCCTATGGAATGTGGGGATCAAACCGGGTAGGCCACGTGCAAGCAAATGCCCTCCCCACTGCACTATCACTACGGCCCAAGGATGGTTGTCTTTAAAGAATTCCTGAGATATGACTTCTTAATTTCTTTGCATATGACTCACAAAGCAGAAGGTATAAGTATAGACCCACTCCCCTGAGCCCAGGACATGAGAAATGAATTAGCCTTAGGATAGCTAACTAAATTTCTTATTCTTTTATTCTTACTCAGTAGAGTTTATCCATTGGCTGAATAATTTCATAAAGCCATATCCTTGATGTGCTTTAAACATATGTGTGTGCATGTGTGTTTGGAATTCAGATTCAAAATTCTATTATTATTTATATTTGTACTACTATATTTGTTCTTTTTCATTATTTATAAAAATTACTTTAAATTTCCCATCATAATTTACCACTATGTACCCCAACCCATAATGAATCCATGTTCATGTTCTTTGGGGTCTTGGTCAGTCATAGGGGCCCAGAAGTCAGCCCTGGAGTCACTTGCTCCAATGAACTCGCCTGCCCTTCCAGAAACGCCTTTTGGCTCGGAGACATGGACTGCCACCTAATGACAGCATTTCAATTGAAGCAGAATTCTCAACAAAGAAACTTAAGCATTATCTTCATTTAATGTGTTTAGGAAATGAAGCAGGGATGCATTTCAGTTGCTTCTGAAGACCAATGCTGACTCCATCATTTCCTGTTTGCAGAATGAAGTTTTATAGGAAGGCAATAATTAACTCTTATGATTATCAGGCAATTATTACACAACTTATGAATTTAGTGCTAGGTGACTGCTTACTTGCAATAATTGTTGAAATAAAAATAGTTGACTTTATTTTTGCCACTGACATCAGGAAAAAGCAAAATATGAGCTAACACAAACCTTTACCTTTTCTAACTGTAGACTTTTTAATGAAAATAGTCCTTGGTTATATCAAGCTCTCAGAAAATGATTATGCCAATAATGTTTAAAAAAGGGTCATTAAATTTATTTTAAATTGCTGAAAAAGTTTTGTATACTACCAGCTCTTACATGTATGAAACTGGGCATATTGTTCCTCAAACCATGATACTTAAAATACTACATTTTTTTTCAGAAAACTTCTTTTTCATATTTTAAAATTACATTCACGATAGCCACAGCGGGTAGGGCATTTGCCTTGCATGCGTTCAATGCATTCGATTCCTCCATCCCTGTCGGGCAGCCCGGCCAGCTACAGAGAGTATTCCACCCTCATGGTAGAGTCTGGCAAGGTCCCCGTGATACATTAGATATGCCAAAACAGTAACAAGTCTCACAATGGAGACATTACTGGTGCCCGCTCAAGCAAATCAATGAATGGGAGGACAGTGTTACAGGACAGTGCTACATTCATGATTGAGTTCAGTCAGTTGTACAATGTTCCAACACCAATACCATCACCGGTGTCCACTTTCCTCTACCAGTATCCCGGGTTTTCCTCCCACCCCACAGCCTGCTCTTGGCAGGAACTTTGATCTGACAACCACCCCCACTCTGAGGAACAGTGATTTACAATGCTGTTACTGATCTGGTACCGTGCATATCACTTTATCTCCTTTCATCATTCAGTCCTTGTCCAGCACTTCCCTTTATCATCCCTGTATTAGATCCTTCCCTGATCTGTTACTTCCCCCACCATCAATGGCAAATTTCCCACTAAGGACCAGTTCTCCTGTCTACTGCCTTTGACTTCTGATTCAAATGGTTAGCTTCAAGAAAAATAAACAGTTCAACAGGCTTGTTTGCATGTTTTCATGCAGGAGGCCCAGGTTTTATCCCTGGGACCACATGTCCCCTGAGCACCAACCAGGGTGAGCCAGGACACCACTAGGTGTGGTCCAAAAGGAAAGGGAAAAGGAAAGGGAAAGGGGGAAGAGGGAGGGGATGGAGGGAGGGGAGGAAGAAGAAGGGAAGGGGGGAGGGGAAAGAGAAAAATAAAGAGAGAGATAAGAGAGAGAAAAAAAGAACGAGAGGGAGAGAGGGGAGAGAGAGAGGTAACATGTTTCTGCTTTGGTAAGAAAAAGGCATAGTCTGGAAAACATTTGAACTTAAGCATGCTGCATGAAATTTGGTGTTGAGCATAGAGAATATAAATTACAATATGTTTCTTCCCATTAATTTTGACAGGACTTCCCATTAAAAAATTTTTAACATTAGGGCCCAGTCACATTTAGATCTTTACAGAATGCTAATTGACCTACTACATTGCCCCTTCCACCCCAGTGGTTTTTAAATAAACTATAGCTTTGCCCGGTCTCACGGTGGTAAGTATGTCCTTATCTCCTTATATAGAATGTTCTCTGATAGTCTGCATATTAGGAACAATACATTTTAAAGAAAATAAGGCTGTTACTTCAATAAAAAAGCAAATGTTTAACAGATTTTCAGTGATGGAAAAATTGAATATTGTCTGCGCTGATTATGTTGTTTCCTCTGATATAGGTTCAACCTGGGAGAAAACATTTCGGCAGATAGGCTTTGAAAGGTAAGCACGTGTCCACTTTTCCCTACTAATGTTTCGTTATATTCTGTCTTTTATTGATTAGAAATCAATAATATTGCCACCACCATTTTATTAACTGTGGGACTTACTCATCCTTTTGTCTCTGAATCATGATTTCTTTGTAAAATTGAATTTCACCTTATAAAATTCTTTCCTGCACAGAATAGAAATGAAGATTACAGAGTATTGTATGTCAAAATGCTTCCTAAGTGGAGAACCGTTTAAAAGTTAATTTTTATTGTTAAAGAATTCAAGAAAATGAAGATGTAGTCTACGCTGCTTCATTTTATCATCATATTCAATTGTATGGTTTTTATTTTTTTGGTTTTTTTTTTTTTTTTGCTTTATGGGTAGCACCTTGCGATGCACAGGGGTTACTCCTGGCTCTGCATTCAGGAGATACTCCTGGCAGTGCTCAGGGGACCATATGGGATGCTGGGAATTGAACCCGGGTCGGCGGTGTGCAAGGCAAATGCCCTTCCTGCTCTGCTATCTCTCCAGCACCCTATTGTATAGTTTTTATACAAGAAAATTTATTTATGTGATATTTACTCAATTATTATAATAGATTAGCTCTATTTATATAACTGAGATCACTATCTGCCCTGTGAATGTCAGTGCACAGACTGATCACTTCCTTACAGTATTTACATAGCTATTGAAAAATGAGGAAACTAATTTTATTAGAAACAAAGTTAGTTTAAAATACATTTTTCCCCAATAGCAAGAAACAATAGCTCATCCTGAGGCCAACTGTGCTAGAACTTCCTGTGCCATTTTTAACTGATTTAGGTTCATTTCTTTCTCTGCCTACACTTCCATTCTATATATATGTACCATCACTGATGGTCATGCATCATAGTTCTCATACTTCATTTTTAAAGTTATTGAGTGGTTATCGGGTTAGTTAGTTGAAATTAGTTCTTAAGTCCTAGATGGCAAGATTTTATCTGACAATTTAAAATGAAGAGTGGAAAATCACACATACTTCTTTAGTGTGAGATCTTCATAAAATAACCTTTCTCTTGATTCTTTCTTCTTACTAAAAAAAAGAAAAGCAAATGGGAGTAAATATGGGAGTAAATATCTATTTAGTATTTATGATAATTTTTGCCATACTTGTATAATCATTTATTGGTCAAATTAACTTAATAAAAATCTTAGTTCTAAGTCATTTTTTCTTTAATATGATCATATATATTTCAGGAGGGAATAGGTTTTTCTTCATAATCACAATATCATTTAGCTAAATATAAACCACAATATGTCTTTGGCAATATTTAATACCCAGTTAATATTCAGATATACTAACATTAAAAATGTAAGGGTTGGAGTGATAGCACAGCGGGTAGGGTGTTTGCCTTGCACAGGGCTGACCCTGGCGACCCGGGTTCGATTTCTCCGCCCCTCTCAGAGATCCCAGCAAGTTATCGAGAGTATTTCTCCCACGTGGCAAAGCCTGGCAAGCTACCCATGACGTATTCGATATGTCAAACACAATAACAAAAAGTCTCACAATGAAGACGTTACTGGGCCCACTCGAGCAAATCGATGAACAACGGGAGAACTGTGACAGTGACAGTGGAAAATGTAAGGGCAAGAGAAACAGTACAGCAGTTGGGTTCCTGCCTTGCATGTGCCGTCCAGGATTTATCACCAGCACTTGATAAGGTCCCCTGAGCCTGCCAGAAATGCTCTTTTAGCACAGAACCAGGAGTAAACCCTGAGCTCTGCTGAGTATGACCCCAAAACAAACAAAAAGATGTAGAAATTGGTTTGAATCAGAGCCCACACATTCCATTTCAGTCTCCGACTTCTCTTTTGCATCCTCTCCTTCAATTCCCCGTCAGCCCTATTGTTGATTTGCTATCTAATTGCCTCTGACAACTCCAAGTCAATTTTCTGTAGAATGTTTCACATTCTCAATTTGTATGTTTATGTCATTGTTTTTTATTTTGTCTTCATATTCATGTAAGCACAGATTGTTCCCTTTGAGTCACTAGAAACAGCTTCATGTTGAGTTCTCATCTTTCAACAACGAAGGTCCAATTGATTTTTTACTACTTCTTTGTAGCAAAAATTAAGTACCAAGACCCACTGATCTTTTATCATTTTTTTGTAGCACAAACTAAGTAACAAATAAATCCATACACCAGATATGAAGACAGTCATCCCTCCATTAAGCTCTCTTTCCATGGGCTGGAGTGATGGCACAGCGGGTAGGGCATTTGCCTTGCATGTAGCCAACATGGCTGACCCGAGTTCGATTCCTCTGCCCCTCTCAGAGAGCCCGGCAAGCTACCGAGAGTATCTCGCCCGCACGGCAAAGCCTGACAAGCTACCCGTGGCGTATTCGATATGCCAAACACAGTAACAAATCTCACAATGTTACTGGGCCCACTTGAGCAAAATCAATGATCAACGGGAGGACAGTACTACAGTGCTCCATGGAGAGCAGTCAATTTTGAAAGCACAATTTATACTATCTTATACTAGGGATGCTTATTAATTCTTGAATAAACCTTTCATGTTTTACATGCCATACAGTTTATATTGCAATATCTCTATTTTTCCATTGTAACAGAAAGCATCCATATAAAATGCATCTAGGTAAATTCCAATAAAAATGTATTTATTTGTTACAGATGATTATAAGTCTGTAGAAATAGTGTAGTGGATATGGTGCTTGCTTGCCTTGCACAGAACCAGTGCGGATTTGATCCCCAAGCAAACTATGATTCCTTGAGCACTAACAGGAGTGAGCACAGAGTCAGGCCTAATCCAGGAGGATAGCCACATGTGGCCCTAAAATCAAACAAAACCAAGCAGTGAATAGGTCCTGGAAAATGGCAATTATTTGTTGGCCCCTCCCCATATCAATTATGGTTTACATCTCACATGTAAAATAAAAAAAAATTAATAGTCTACCTACACATACAGTTGGTCTTATTAACTTACTTTCTTTTCTTTTATTTTCTTTGCTTCTCTTTTTGTAACCAAATCACCATGAAGTACACAGTTACAAAGTTTTTCATGATTGGATTTCAGTTGTAAAATGTTCCGACACTGATCTCTTCACCAGTGTATGTTCCTCACCACCAATGTCCCCAAGTTCCTTTCTGACATGGCTTCCCCACAACCTGCCTCTATAGCAAACACTTACATCCCCCTCCCCCCACTGCCTCTCACTTGCTCACTCTGTCTCACTTTCCTTTCGGACATTATGGTTTGCAATACAGGTACTGAAAGGTTATCACATAAATATGTGTGTGTGTGCGTGTGTGTATACATATATATGTATATATACATTGTATATATAAAAATATGTATAAATATATATAGGTAAAGGAATATATGGGCTGGAGCGATAGCACAGTGGTAGGATGTTTGCCTGCGCACAGCCAGCCCAGCCAAGCCGGGTTCAGTTCCTCCACCCCTCTCGGAGAGCCCGGCAAACTACTGAAAGTATCTCGCCTGCCACAGCAAAGCCTGGCAAACTACCCGTGATGTATTCAATATGCCAAACACAGTAACAAGAATTTGGAGGATCTGGGTGGAGGATGCTCGGCCCAAATCCGAGTAGGCTTGGAGATCTCGATCCCGGAAGCCGCGTGACTTTGTCCCTCTGCCAGTACCTTCATGTGTGCAGAGAGTGATCTCAGCATGGTGGTGGCTGGTCCTGGAGGTCTCTCCTCCACCCAGATCCTCCAAATTCCAGTAGGCGGAGGTCACACCCACCAACTGGCCCCCTGGCGCCGTGTAATCCCATCAACGGCCAAGACTCAGAGACTATAAAAACCAGCTCCCGGAACTGCGCGGCCGCATTCGCAGCCACACAACATCTTATTATGACATCTTATTATCTCATTCCTACTTTGGACAAACTGGCAGGCTACCGAATGTAGCCTGCCCACAAGGCAGAGTCTGGCAAACTCCCTGTGGCGTACCCAGAATGCCAAATACCAGTAACAATGATGGGTCTCATTCTCCTAAAATGCCTTGAATATAAACTCAGGGCTAGGATGAAGGAGACGGAGACGTTACTGGGGCCTGCTCGATGTAATCGACAATTAACAGGATGATTTGTGATTGTGTGAGTAACAAGAAGTCTCACGATGGAGATGTTACTGGGCCCACTCGAGCAAATCGACGAACAATGGGAAGACTGACCATGACCGTGACCGTGACCGTGAAAGGATATATATATATACATATACATATATATATATATATGTATATGTGTGTGTGTGTCCCTTTACCTCCTTTAAATACAGTTCTTTTCCAGAGTGATCATTTCCAACTATCATTACCATGTGGCTTCTTCTCTGTCCTGTCTTCTTCCCCAACTTGTGGTATGCTTCCAACTTGTGGGATGCTTCCAACCAGTCCTCCTGGCCCTCATTTCTACTTCCCTTGAGTATTACACTCATACTTCCTTTTTTCTGGATTTTTGGGGGGATAAAACCCAGAAATGCTCAAGGGTTACTCCTGGTTCTGCACTCAGTAATCACTTCTGACAGTGCTGGAGGAACCATATGGGATGCCAGGGATCGAACTTGGGTCAGCCGTGAGCAAGGCAAACACCCTAATCACTGCTCTATTCCTCCAGCCACCACCCCCTACTTTCAAGTAAAGGTTGGCTTATACTCAAACCACACTTAATTCTTGAGTTAGCATTTTTTATTTTGTGTTGTCTTAGTTTTCCTTTCTTGTAATTTTGAGTAGCTAATCTCAAGTCATATTTATAATTGGCTGCTTTCATTTTTATGACTATTTTGTATAAACTACACAGTATTAAGTACTCATTACAATGTCTCCCCCATATTACTATACTTCTTAAAAATATGCAAATTTAAAAAATATGTCATTAAGGAACACTTCTGAATGTTCACAAATCAGCATGAATACCAAATATCATTTGATAATCATCCTGACTTATAGACATTATTTTAATATGACATTCAATGTTTGCCCATGGCATC